GGGGGGATAGTGGGAGTGGTAGTGTTATGGTGGGGGGATAGTGGGAGTGGTAGTGTTATGGTGGGGGGATAGTGGGAGTGGTAGTGTTATGATAACAATGAAGGGCAGTATGGGAGGAGGGGGGGGGTGCCTGGCTGTGGGCGGTGGGCTGTGGCTGTGGGCGGTGCCGGCCTGGCTGTGGCTGTGGGCCGTGGGCCGTGTCTCCCGGTTCCCGAGCTCACACCCACCTCCCGGGGAAGGTCTCGGCCAGCACAGATCCCGTCTGTTTGATTGCGGCTCCCGCTGTCAAGATGGCGCGCCGGGGGCATCGCGCATGCGCGGGAGCAGGCCGGGAGTTGTAGTTCTCATTGCTGGTTGGTTGGAGGGTAGTGACGACAGTACGTAACGTTTAGCGCAGAAAGTACGTATAGCAATCCGGGGACGGCGGCCGGTGAGGGACACTCTCAGTGTGATGTTTAGCTACAGCGACCCCTGGAGGCCACAGGAGGAGCAGCAGTCCAGGGGCTTGTTATCAGCTAACACAGTTATTTACCAAACTCCCAACTCTGAATTCTTAATGGCAAAACTTAGTAAAACTAATTCTCCAACTCCGCTATAGCCAGAGCTCATCGGTTTTATTCTGAATTCTGACTTTAACATTGTGGATATTAGTGAATAAACCGCTTCCTGTAATTATTATTATTATTTTATTATTTATATAGCGCCATCAGATTCTGTAGCGCTGTACAATGGGATAGCCCCCCTCCCGCCACACCGGCTCTTCAACTCGGAGCAGTGGGAGGAGGCTTGAGGGGCAACAGCACCCCAAAATCAGGACTGTCCTGCCGAAACTGGGACAGTTAGCAGGCAGGAAATAGCCGAACGTTAAATGTAGCGGAATTGGGGAATTTCTCTAAATTCTGAAATTCACTTTTGGGGTCTATACACAAAAATAGCTGATTGCAGTGACTGGAAAACCATATCGCAGAATTTAAGGAACCTTAACAGAGAATTTCTCCCAATCAGATATTTTTCTTTAATTTAATGTGGGGTTCACTATGTTCAGGTTTCCCGAAACACTATGTCACACAATTTATTGACACCAATGTCGGTGCTTGTCCTTATTGCGCTGTGTGTGAACAAAATGGAAACCCAGCAGCCCTGCCAGGATTGGGGGCCTGGAATTGGAAGTGGGTGAGACTGAATTTTAGGTGTATTTGTGATGCCAATGGCTTCAAGGATGACATACCCACCCATAGATAGGGGTGTCGTGCCAGGAAGACAAGTCACTAATTTGCTGAGTGCCGCTGTAGTGCTCGCAAATCCGGGGTTTATAATATGCAGTGAAATTCACTCCAATTTCCAGAGACAAAACAGAAGTAGAGGCTGTTGATGGCCTCATTTTAGCCTGAATATTGTCATTCAGCCTTTCATTCACTACAATTTTGAGTTTAGCCAATAAACACGTTTCTTATATTAATGTAGGGAGTGAAATCGAATTCCATTACTATTACTCTTCTTAAAATATCTACAGACACAGCCCTCAACAACACCGTCATTCTCCAATAATCCGTAGGATGCTGCCAACCCCTGGTTCTGTTTCTGGCTCATGTCTAGGGTCTGGGACACATGGCCTGGACATAATAGGTAAGAGCTTGGCAACCTTCAGCACTCCAGATCTTGTGGACTACATCTACCATAATGCTCTTACAGCCGTAATGCTGGCAAAGCATCAGGGGGAGTAGTCCACAAAATACGGAATGCCGAAGGTTGCCTACCCACCTGGAGATTGTGTGGCAGCTGCTTTTACCCGCTTCATCGTAATGCCTGGCTGTCTAGCTATGGGTTTTTACTAGCCATTTTTCCTCATTTCAGAGTCAGGCCTCTAACTAGGTATCGGGTAAATGGAATGGACATCTACAGGATCCTGTTGTTTTCATGCTTGCACTTTCATTCCAATTCACTGCCCTGGCTAAATGCGATTTCACTATTTGAAATGTTCCACTTTGTTCTCTTAATTGTTTTATCAAAACGTATGTTTTGTGCTAATTCAATTCACATTGGTAGCAATTATCAGAGGCACTCTACTGCTATTGCATAATGTTTTGTAAGCTGTCACTAATCTCTCATCCGACAGTCTACTCCTTACTATATCAGTTAACCAAAAAATAAAAAAGACACAGCAACTAAAGTACTGTACATACTAGAGAAGTACAGTAACAATATGACATATATCACATGTCTCCATTCTCGATTTTTAGATTCTGTCCCGTCGCCCGAAACATATTCACTGGTGTCCCGCTTTTGGAGACACCAGGGAACTGTCCCCAACAAGCATAGCACGAGCACATGATAAGACGCACCCGCGTCACTGAAACCATGCTCCCTGCTGGGTCTGCCCTCAGTGGGCCGACCTTAAAAGACATGATGGCAGATTTTACTATGGGAAAGCTTTGGATTACCTGATTATCAATGTTATAACTCGTGCTGCAAAGGGAGAAAAAGCAAGTAATTTAGCTTTTTTTCCCAAAGACTGATTGGGGTGTTGGGAACCCAAATGGCTAACAGGGCACCAAAGCGTTAGGAATACACATTTGTATTCCTAATACTATAGTGTTACTTTAAAGAGACGTGGACCCAGGACGGAACCCTGAGTCACTCTACCACTTGTTCCATTACATCTACTCTCTGCATTCTATCTTTACACTAGTGTTCTATCCAAGAACACAATTTTCCTCTAAACCAACTGATTTAAGTTTTAATAGTTTTGTATGGAACTGCGTCAAATTCGTTTGCAAACGCCAAGTAGATAGCATCTGCTGGATCACCCTGATCTATATTTCTACTAACTTCTCCATTGAATGCAGTTAAGTTAGTTTGACATGACCTGTCTTTCATGGAACCATGTTGTTTCCTGCTAATGATATTGTTGTTCAAAATGAATTCTTGAATGTTTTCCCTTAATAGCCCTTTAAATCATTTCCCAACCACAGATTTTAAGCTCATGGGTCTGTAGTTTCCGTCTTTGAGTTTTAGTTTTCAAACCCTTCTTAAATATAGGCACCACATCTGCTTTTCTCCAGTATGAATCATGAAAGCTTAAAAACAGTGGTCTGGATATTTCTACACTGACCTCCATAAGTACTCCTGGGTAAATACCATCTGGCCCTGGGCCTTTGTTTACATAAATTTTATTTAACTCTTTGCGGTCCTATGTCAGAGTATATACAACACATATTTTACCTCTTGCAGTCCAATGTTGGATTAACCCTGGAGAGTTCCGCCGAACCTTTGTGCCATGTGCCGCAAATGTGCGCCACAAAGTTAGGACACAGATTAAAAGCAATAGATGAAAAAAATCCTAGAGATTTAATAAATTGTGTCAGAAATTTTCCTGTAATTAGTGAAAGTGTTGGTGACACTTTGATAAATCTCCCCAATTGTTTTAATTCTCTGCTTCTCTGTATATGTTCACTGTGTCTTGTGGCAATATCCAGTCCCCTGTTAGTTGCTTAGATAGATAGATAGATAGATAGATAGATAGATTTTTTTATATTATTAAAGTATATTTTTTATACATCCAGTCTACTGATAACTTGCATTCCTTTGTGAACTACCTCAGCCCAAGAAAGATGTACCTAAGGGCACTTTATAAACACGGCTCTCATGGACCATGTGAGTCTTCTTGAGTCTAACTTTTTCTCCTCACTTGCACATTATAGATTACCCCATGTTTGCTTGTTTGTATTTTATTTTTATGTAGACCCATCCTCCTCTACATGTTGTATGGATTTACCATTAAAATACTCCTGAAAGTTTACAAGTGTAGTTTTTATTATTTGTTTAATAAATATACTTTTCTTTTTTTGTGTGTGCTGATTAATTGTATGTTTGGCACTTTGCGCACTGATTATTTATTATTTTATTGTGAGAGATTCTATCCCAGGAGATATTAGATGAGTTCATCTCCAACTGAGAAGTATTTACAAAACTGAAAAGTTCATAGCAAAGTATTTTATGTACACAGACTGATTTCTACATACTATTATTGCAGTTTAAATACATATTACCGGAAGGT